GCACTAAATGATTACCAATTGCATTAGAGAATATGGAAGCTAAGAAGAAAAAGAAAGTCAGTGTTGTTAAAAAAAAACCAATTGAAAATGTTAATTCTTCAAATTCTTTACTAAATGGTTCAGCACTTAATATTGAAGGTAATGTGTCTTTTAAAATAACATATTAATATACAAATCATTAACTTATAATTATTATAGATAAAAGGCCAAAAATTTTACTGAATTCTCGAATTCCTGTCGATGATGTAGATCAAATATGTAATCCAAAAAGTGACGGTAACTGTGGATTTAGAGCACTTGCTATTGCCATTCGAGGAAATGAAGAAAACTGAAATCTTGTTAAACTGGCTATGAATGGTCAATTGAATAAGCGTATAGAAGTTTATAAAGACTGGCTGGGTTATGACATTGATTTACTCAAACGGATATTAGAGTCTCGGGCATCACCATGTACATCTTCACTTTGGTTTTTGTCACCTAATTGTGCACAATTGGCTGCTGATACTTTTTCTGTTCTTATTGCTATCTTTGATGAAAAGGATGAACAATACGCAATGTTTTTTCTATTAGAATCAGTGCCAATACATAGAAAAAATCTGATTGTATTACATTTTGTAAATAGCAACCATATCATATATGTGAGCATGAAAAATTACGCAAAAGTGAATTGGCCAACAGTTAATGTGTAGCATATATCTATTTGTCGTAGATATGGCCTTGAGAATCACTGGTCAAAACTTTTTGCATAGTTTTCTTTTTATGAAAATAACTATATTACTGTATTCGCATTTTGCACAAATATAAATAAATAAAAAATAGAAATATGATAAAAAAATAGCATTCAACAAATGCATACGAAATTCGTTTGGACAATTACTTAATTGAATACATTCTTGGATTCTTTAATATCTTTTTTTGGACAAATGCTTGTTATGCCTAGTTTGATATCGATACCAATTCCGATCAAATAAAAATAAAATTGGATTATAGACAGAAATTCATTTGATTACCTAATGCAAATCAATTTCCCGCATAACTTATTTATATGTTTTAGAATACTTTTTAAGAATGCAATATTATACAAATAACCATTCTTAACAAACATCGTCTTTAGCTTCAAAGAGGTGCTAAAAGTTAACTTAAAAATAATCTCTAATTTAAGAAGGGTTTGCTTAGCAACAATGTTTTGAACTAGGTAAAAAAATATAAATGGTTTTTAACAGAAATACTGATTTTTTTTTGTAGATTAAGAAATCTTAAGTCTGGTTTTTAGATGAGCAAGGTTGTGAGTAGGGAGGTTCGAATATAACGTTTAAAATAGGCTTTAAGTTAAATTAGTTGAAGTATATTTAGATTTGTTAAAGGTCTGGACTTATGAATAGTGAAATATATAACGTGTTAAGAGCGATTATTACTTTATTACATTGTTTATATATTTATAGACATATTTCTCAAATATATATTTTTCTAATTCATTTACTTTCTTACTATAAGATTTTCTCATTAATATAATACGTAATAAAGCTATGCAATTTGATTGGTCAGTAATCACGGGTAGATCTACAACAATTAACCAATCAGACAAATTTCTGCCTATGAAAAATGGTGTACTCATGTCGATTATTGTTGTGCCGATAAAGGAGATAAGTAACATGCATGTTGTGTTGGTATAGTTCCCTAAATTTAATTGGTCCTGTATCGTGATCACAAAAAAAATTTTATTCCTGTGATCTTTATACATATCGGTATAGTTTTGATTAATAATCTAATAATGCTAAACGTAACTTGGTAATAAGGCAGAAAAGATTTCAATAGTAATATATCAGCAAATTTCATAGATTTCATTCAATATTTGATTGGTTGATCAATATACGATAGTACAAGATGATAGATTTAAACTTATCGATATGCATTTTCACGATCTTATGTTTCAGCAATAAGGCCATGAAAGTAAAATTAAATGGTATTTATCTATTTCATATTGAGCTCTAAAGATTGTCTTTATTGATATCATTTATATGTCGTCTATTTACTTTAGTTGAAACAATGTAGCGGTTTTGGGATGGGATATACCTAATGAAGAAGTTTGTTGCATTTGTCGTATTCGCTTTGACAGTTGCTTTCTTATTTGCAAAACTCCAGGGTAGGGTGTCCAGAATCATGCTGCTAATGATGCCAAAATATGCTTGCTAATTGTATTAAATTATGCTTTTTATACTAATAGCTTATACAAAATTTAATTTACTATTTTAGTTTTAGTAAATTTACACAAACTTTACTCTATCAATATACAAGTTATACTATTACACTTGGCTATACCAAGCTACGGTTGTTGCTCAATTCCCTGAAAGCTATTTACCCGACAGGCCACTTACCCAACATTACATAGGGTTAGGGTTAATATTTTATTAGCTGTAAATATATATTTTTAGCAATTTGTCACCCTTGTGATGTCAGGTAAGTAGCCTTTCGGGTAAATAACTTTCAGAGAATCATACTGTAACCCCAAGCTACACTAGCTACACCAAGTTATATCTATTACAAATATTTAAAACTTTGATTATACAAGGTTATACAAGATTATATATAAAGATATACTAATTGCTATTATTTACAACTTTCTATCTCTAATTTATAAATTCTATACCCCAAAAAGAATTTAGAAAATTTTAATTGCTAATTTAAGGGTAGGGTGTATGTAGATTATTTTTCATATGATCTACGTGGTATATTAGATTTTTATATAGTAAATAAAAAAATGCTTCTAATAAAACTTTTTAAT